GAGTCTGGATCCAATGTCACCAAGCTCTTTCTCTCTTCTCTCGTAGTCTGCAGATGCAGTGAAGTCAGATGATGAGAGGGTGAGAGGGAGATGGTGGACTGAGAAGAGGACGAAGAAGAACTCTCTCTCTGTTACGAGCCTGGAACTAACCTGTGATGTTGGCGCTGTGCTGCAGGTACCTCGAAGACGAAGCTGGAGTAGCGGCGCTGCAGGTCAGTACCTCTGGCCTCCGGCCAATCTCTCTCTCTCTCTCTCTAGTGCTATCCTAGCTACGGCGCCCAGCGCTGGAGACTACAGCTACCTACTGCGCCCAGCGCTGAAGACTACAGGCTAACGCTACTACTACTCCTGCAGCGCTCCCTCCATAGAGCTGTGGCCGAATCCTGAAGGCTACTGCCTCTTGCCTACCCGTGAAGTGCATAAGAAGTCCCTATGTACTACCTCGGCTGCCTGAAGGGCGAGCCAGGCCGAGGACGCAGCTCTTGCCAATGCCAAAGTGTGTCAGGGGCTTGCGCTGCAGCAGCTGCTGAGGCTGGCATGCGAACAGGCTAAGAATAGCCTGTTCCCGAAACCCTGGTTCGGTGTCGGAGTTTCAGGGCCGGTTGTTTTGATGAACGACCGGAAATGGCCCTTCGCTGCAGGCTAAAAAGGCTATTGCCATTTTTAGTCTGAAACGACACAGGGACTGTAGGCCCCTGTTTTCAGGCTTTCGGGCTGAACAATCATGGGGCCTGTAGGCCCTGGTTTTCAGGCTTTCAGCCTGAGGGACGCAAGGCCTGGAAAATGGCCCTCGTGTGCAGGCGCAACATGTAACAACCCCCCCCTCCTTATGAAGTCAAGCCGGGGCGAGGGCGAGGCCGACGATCTGAAGGTGGAACCTGGACGAGGGCGCGGCGTGGAGCCGAAGAAACCGGCTTGCCTTGCATCTTGCGTTCGTAGCGTGAAAGATCGTCTGGAGCTGTTGCTTGAAGTTCCGCACGGGTCAACCAACGGTCAACTCGGTGTGTGCAGTATGCAAAATGCACTAAATACTCGGTTGGCCTTTTGCAGTAGCGTCGCTGGGAGATGATGTCGCCGACCTCCTGAAAACCATCCATGGAGGGTGGGTCTTGCGAACGTCTCCCGGGAAAATCGTCATGTTCCACTGGCGTGTAAAGAGCCAACTTGGAGCAATGAAAGACTGGGTAGACGGGCAAGTGGGCGGGCACCTGAATCGTGAAGGAAGGTCCCTCATGTGCGTCCCCAGCGGGTGCCATGATTGGCCAAGGCCCCATCCATTTCGGGAGGAGCTTGCGAGAGATGTCTTGTTCAAGGCTGAATTCCGTTGCGGAAACCCAAACGAGGTCACTGGCAAGGAATGGGCAAGGAAGACGCTGGCGATTGGCCTGCTGGCTCATGCGTTGCTGCGTCTTAGCCATCTGGTCGCATGCCTTGACAAGGAGCTCTTGCATCCCACGCAAGAAAAGAAGATGGTTGTCGCTCTCGGCCGTTCGTGGAGTAATAGTGTCCAACGGTGAAGTGACTGGCGAGCCGTGCTCGAACTCGAAAGGCGATATCCCGATAGCCCGGTGGATGGAAGAGTTGTAGGCCATCTCGACATCCGGCAGCCGCTCAACCCAGTCCTTCTGGTCAGGACGGATGAGAGTGAGAAGGAGAACCTGTGCGGTCTGGTGCGCCCTCTCCGTTTGGCCATCGCTTTGAGGGTGGTGAGCTGAACTGGGCTTGAGAGATGAGCCCCATCGCTTGATGAGCGCCAACCAAAAATCAGACATGAATTGAGTGTCGCGGTTGCAGACGATTTCCTTGGGGTAACCCTTGGTTCGAATCCAACCGGCGTAGAGAACCTCAACCAACTCCGGTGCCTTGGCGTAATAGCGACAAGGCAAAAAAACATGGCGAACTTGGTGAGTCGGTTGACCACCGTGAGAATCCCATCCACTCCGGTCTTGTGCTTGGGGAACGGGCCGGTAATGTCCATGGCAATCGCTTCCCTTCGCCGCAACGGGACTGGTAATGGTCGTAACTCGCCGTACGGACGATGGTTGCGGGATTTGCAGCGTCGGCAAACCTCGCATAACTCGCAATAGCGCATGACGCCGCCGAGAAGGCCGGGCCACCAAAATCGCTCGCGAAGTCGGCCAATAGTGACTCCAAAGTGTCCGGTGGCGGGAGCATCGTGGAACTCGCCAAGAAGCCGTGTACGTAAGTGAGGATCACTTGGTACGCAAAAAAAGTCCTTCCCCCGTGTGAGGACAAACAAAGTACCCCTCTTGGATCCGGTAGTGAGAAGGCGCCGGATTAGGAGAGGAGCAATTCGCGTACTTGTCGCGAAACTCGGGGTCGGCTTAATAACCACGGATGAAGCTGTTCCGCAGGTCATCATTGATCTCGAAGGTTGAGTAGACCGCGGTACAATGATCCGGACGCCGTGAAAGAGCATCTGCAAAACAGTTCGACTTCCCGGGAATGTGATCGGGAAAGAAGTCAAACTGGTCGATGAAAGCCACCCATCGAGCGATGGTGCTGTTGACGGTGTCTTGGGTCTTATAGAAGACCAACGGATTGTTGTCCGTTACCCATCGAAATTGGCTTCGACCAAGGTGGAAGTGCCGCCACCGCTTGAGCGTGTGGATGAAGGCGAGGAACTCCTTCTTGTTTGCATCGTTAATGGAATGCACGACGGACACTTTCTTGCTGAAATACTCGACCGGGTGCCAGTCCACACCATCATGTTGCTCGAGTACTGCACCAATGCCATAGCCTGACGCATCCGTAGTGACGCGCGTAGGCAAAAGCGGGTCGTATATCCGCAAGACCTCCGCAGACAATAGCGCGGCTTTGAAAGCCAAGAATGATTATTGCGCCTCCTCTCCGAAGTCAAACGGCCGATCCTCGCATTGAAGCTTGGTCAAGTGGGCCGCGATCTTCGAGTAACCTTTGATGAAACGCTGATAGTAGCCGGCGAGACCAAGGAACGAGCGGACATCCGTGACGTTCCGAGGCTCCGACCACTTTTGGATGACTTGAATCTTGTCCGATAGCGGACTGATGCCCTCCGGTGTGAAAAAATGGCCCAAGTATTCCAGCTCTTGCTGGACAAATTCACACTTGTCGCGGTTAGCCTTGTACTTGGCGCGGCGGAGCGTCTCCAACACTCGTCGAAGATGTCCAAGATGATCCTCCAATGACCGGCTATAGACGAGAATATCGTCTAAGTAGACCAGCACGAACCGGTCCAACATTGCACGGAACTCATTGGTCATTGCCGCTTGAAAGGTCGCCGGGGCGTTGGTGAGGCCAAAAGGCATGACCACCCACTCAAAATGCCCGTACCACGTCTTGAACACGGATTTGTAGCGATCGTTCGGCCGGATCGAGATTTGATGATATCCCGATTTCAAATCCAACTTAGAAAAATACTTTGCGCCGCCCAATGGCTCAAGAAGATCGTCGATGCGAGGAAGAGGCCCCGGATTCTTGACGGTTTGCGCGTTGAGCTTGCGGTAGTCGATACACAATCGTAGATCCTTGTTCTTCTTCCGGACGAAGAGAACTGGTGCTCCATATGGGGAGCTACTAGGGCGGATCCAACCCTTGGCCAATAAATCGTCGAGTTGTGCGCGGAGGACCTCAAGCTCCTCCTCGGTCATCCGATAGATGCAACCTTTCGGCGGCACGACACCGGCCTCAAGAATGATCTCGTGAGAGATCGGCCGATCCGGCACCACACTGGTAGGTGACTCGAAGATGTCGACGAACTCGTCCAGCAACCGCACCACACAGGGGTCCGAAGACAAGTCCGTGGGTGAAGAGTCGGCTACCGCGACGGTCCTTAGGAAACATAGGCCGATTTCCTCAGGCTGCTCGCAAGCGCAAGTTGCCCGGAATGATTTGGCCATCACCACTTGGCACCGAATCGAAGGGTGCGGTAGAGGAATAATACACGCCACTTCCACGCCGAAGGCATCGCGAACGCTAAGAGTCCGCCGATGGAAGTTGACTGTGTGATCTGCACTTGCAAGCCAAGGCATTCCCACAATGATGTCAAAATTCGTATCGAGAATGTCGAACGTCACCGGTTCGCATAAATGAGGTGCGAAGTACACCGGTACGACTTCAATGTAACGGTCGAGAAGTTGCTGCATCTTTCCATCCGCCAACTTGATCGCTGTCGGGTTTGCCTTCCTCCGAACTTGTGCGCCAAGGCCAGCCCTTTGCATAAAGGATTGGCTCATGAAATTGCGAGACGCACCGCTATCCAGCAAAGCGCTGCAGGACGCTTGCCCAACTTGAATGTGGACATACATGAGCGGTGCGTTGTTGTCATTGTACCGCTGCGTGCGAAACTTGCGGGCCACCTTGGTAGTATACGCAAGGATGTCCCCCACTGCGACTTTGTCATCCGTCGGCGAAGTTGGTGGTGCATAGAAGGATAAGTACGTGTGGAGATGAGCGCATAGTGCTGCGCATTGCGGTCCCGGCAAGCGGTCTGTGGTCGGGAGAGGAAGCCATGCAAAGTCCTCGGACGTGAGAGGGTCCAATACCTCTACGTTGAACTTGCGCGTCGAATCCCGTGAAGAACCACTTGAAGACGATAAGTCGCCGTTGCCGGACGGAGAAGATGCTGCACACACGTCTTATCCTTGAGCTTGAGTACCTAGCGTAGGAACGAGCCGGGCAGCATAGTCCTCAAAAGAAAGTAGAAGAGGAGGACTATCGACTTCCGCGTGAGCCTCGGAATGAAGGCCGGTTACTCGCGAAGAAACCGGTTCCGGAGGCGTCGAGAGTGTCGTCGAGGCACTCCCAGCGGTGCTCAGTTTCCCTGTTTGCCTTGCCTTTCAATGGGCAGGCCAGTGTCTCATGGAGATCGTTGTTGCACCAGAGGCAATAGTGGAATCTCGTGCGTGCCTTGAATGCTTGCTCGGAGATGCCATATTGGGACCATGGGGCTGGAGCTGCTGCGCCGGGCCCGGGGCTTCATGCAGTGTGTGTCTTCGTCTTGCCGCGTCCTCGGCCTCCGCCGGGGCGGCCACCTTCCCGGGCGGCTGCAAGTCCGTCCCCTTTATTGGCAGACACAACCTCACTGGTTTGGTCAAACGGCGTTGCTGTCGTGACCACGGCCACTCTTGGCCGATGCTGGTCCCTGCTCGTGCCTGTCGCAGACGAAAGCAGGTCCTTAGCCTCCTTGTTCGTAATGATAATCTGCGCGGCCTTGTCAAAAAGTTCTACCGCCGTCGTCAAGGTGTCCTCGACGTGAGTCAGGGCATTGCTTAATGTCGGACATGACCTTGAGATGAAATAGTGGCGGATGGCTTTGAAGCCCGTCTGGATGTCTGGGACTGACGTCAAGCGTTTGTACTCGGCGATCCAGTCGGTACTCGGCAGCATGCCTTGTTCGAAGATCATGAGCTTGTCCATAGCCTTGATCTCCGGCGGCTCGACTTGGAACCACTTGTGCCATGCTGCCTTCAGATCATCCCAGGTGATCTTGGTGTGCAAGTCGTTAGCTACCACTCCGTACTTGGACAAGAGATTGTCCAAACCAAGCCTGGCACGCGCCCCCTGAGCGAGAGTACAAGTATGCGTGGTGCTTGTGTTCTTTGACGTTGTGTAGCTGCAACGTGAACTCGAACTTGCGGAACCATGGAATCGGATCTGTCTTTGTCGAGTCGCAGAAGATCTCCTGCCCATCAAACTTTGGAGCTGTCTCGCGCGGTTCCGAACTTGAGGTGTTGGCGGTAGTACAGATCCGTTGTTGTAGACGCGAAGAGTGTGCATGACAGTGCGGCGAGGCGAAGGGAGGTAGGGAGCAAATCGGGTGGGTAGCGCTTTGCGCACGCGCGGCATGACACAGGCGCTTGACCGCACTGCGTCACAGGTTGGCGCAGAGGGCGGTCTGACCCCGGACAGGGGGCTCCACGCGTGGACTCCATAGACACCGAGCTCCTGACGTGGGGCATCAGGGGTGGAAGCCACCTGGAGTAAGAGTGGAGTGAGCCTGGGGACTGCCAAAAGTGTGCATGACAGTGCGGCGAGACGAAGATCGGAGCAACAGGGACGGTAATCGGCAAGGAAGACAACGTCAGGAAGACGCAGGACGCAGGGCGCACGAAGAGCCCCAAAAGAGAACCCTAAGGAAAAAGTCAACAACGTGGTGGATTGCCGGGAGAGTAAGGGAGGAAGAGGCAACACGGCAGCGAAGGAAAAAGTCAACAACGTGGTGGATTACCGGGCGAGCAAGGGAGGAAGAGGTAACACGGCAGAGAAAAGGCAGCCATCACGAAGGAAGCTGGAACCACACGGATAGAGGTGCCGCGGAGAAAATCGTCGCGTCAGGGCGTGACACCGGAGGGGCAGCGACAGGATTGACGCTGGGAACAAGCGCTACGGTGGAGAGGGTTCGCAAGGGCGAAGAAAGTAAGGAACGGGAAGTGGCACGCGAGGTTCAGGTCAATACAGAAAGAGAGGATGGAAAGGCGATCGTGACGAGGTGCGCGGCAAAGAGATTAGCAATAGGGACTCGTCATCCATAAACAAGGAAGGGGGCTAGGGCAAGGAGTAGAGACGAAGAAAGCAAGGCAGGAACCAAAAACAGGCGGTGACGGGGCAGCAACCTGGGTGCAAGAGGAAGGGTTACGGTAACGGAGCAGAGGGGGGATCATCAGAGAAACGACGAGAATCGTAAGTGGTCAACGCAAAGTGTAGATAACAGGTAGGCGCCAGCCCTCTTCTGCCCCCCCATCCCGGCCCACCCTGCCCCCCTGCCCCCCTCCCCGGCGGTATCCCCGAGACAGCAAACGAACGACTGTCACCGGGTATCAAAAAAGGTAATAAAACAAATTAACGAGACAAAAAAAATAAAATAAATAAATAGAATAAAACGAGATCAGCAAACATTGCAAAATTGGCACAGATCTATTCAGGAAACGAGCGACTATCACAGGGAGTAGTAAGCATAACGACTCTACAAAAAACAAACAACTAAACAACAAGATAATCAAATAGCACAAACAACACAGATTTCCCCCGGATTCATCTCTGTCATCAACCTGACACAACTGTCTCGATGGAACTGGGGTATAGAAGGGTCAGGGGACCCGGGTCCCTCATCTTCTAACAGGGGGCCATGAGACATAACATGGGTAGACAACTGGCGGTCTGCCCCTGTGGCAGACCAGAGAGGAAGCTGCAGCTGAGCCTGCGTCTTCCATATGCCCCCCCCGCCCTGGTGCGCTAGCAATGGCCAACACCTAAAGAGACCACGACTACTTTCCCGGACAGGACAAATCCGGCCGGCCAGGAGGCGACTATTATGCTGCCACAAGGAACGTCTCAGGACTGCGACCTGGAGATGAGAACCGCGGGAGCACAAAGCGAGGAGGAAGAGGCGATGGAGGAAGAGGAAGACGGTGAGGATGAGGAAGAGATGCTGACAGAAGGGGAAAAATCCACAAAAAAAAGAGCACAGAAAAAAGGAAACCAAAAGAGGCCACCACTCAGAATCAAGAGGAAGCTGCGAAGGAACCAAAATCCTCATGGGCACAGCGAGTTAGAAACACAATCCAGGAGAAGTCTCTGACCATTAAAAGAGACGGACACACAACACAGCAGGGGGAAGAGGAGACTCTCAAGGTGCCCCTCCGAAACCTTTCATCGGCACGAGCTTACTTCCTCACTCTGTTTCTCCTCCCCTCAGAAAACCAAGTGGTGGATCAAGGAGGGAGAAAGACAGTGATGAAGACGTATCCAACGGATAAATTGGAGGCGAGAGACAAAGCCTACATCAAGCACGCGAACAACTGGCTGTTTCACGGAGATATCGCACAAAAATCAGTAAACGACAAAATTCGCTGGATCTGCAAACGCCTAGAAGAAATGAGAGGCAGTCCTAAGGCGGTGCAGGAATTCTTCCTCATCCAACCTCTCTCGTCAACGGTCTTCACAGTCCTCAGTCTGTTCACCCAGGATAAGCAGAGAATAGACGGATGGCGGAGAATTAGATGGGAAAGATCGGAGGTGCGCATATACCCTTGGCAACCAAAAAAGTTGTCCCCGGAGGAGAAGAGAGAGCAACTCATGAAAGATTTCTTCTGGGTGGAAATGAGACACATTCCAGTGGAGGTGCAGGTCGCATTCGTCCATGATCTGGGTCAACGGTACAATATAGTAGATTTCATTGACCCGCTCCCATCCTACGTGGCGAAACGAGACGACTACATGATGCTGGCACTTGACCTCCCCAAGGACCAGCCCTTCTCCATGGATGACATAATTCCCTACAGAATGGGAGGAAAGGTATATCAAATTCACAGTGCTCATAAGTTTAGACCATGGTGCCATAAGTGTAGGGCGTACGGTCATCTGAGCACAGAGTCCGCCTGCCCCCAACACCCCAACAAGAGGGGCCCAAAAGCGGGTCGGCTCCAACAGGACCCACGCAGGCCCAACAGATGGACCACAACAGAGCGGGGCCACGAAGGGTGGGTGTACCTGGAGGACCGAGACCCCGAGGGACGACCCAGAGGCTGGACCTGGGAAGGGCGGGGGGACCTATGTAGAGCAACACGACCGCCCAGCGAATGGGTACCACCCCAGAGGAAGGCACCCCAAATGGTCGAAAAGCCTGCGCAGCCTGCTAAAACTCATAATGTGAAAACGCCTGCCCTCAAAACACCCCCCCCTCAAGAGGAAGGCCGGCAACCCACACAGCCAATCAAACAGCCTCACAAAACACCCCCCCCTCAGGAGGAAGGTCGGCAATCCACGCAGGCAAGCAAACAGCCTCAAGGGGGACAAAGGAATCGGGGTTGGGGACAGGCAGCAATGGAGTACCTGCCAATCGGAAAACAAACAAACGAGGCAACGCCCGTGTCAGCGAAAGAAAAAATGGGAGAGTGTGGGGGCCCCCAGCAGACCCCCGAGGACCTGTTCGAAGAAGCCTTCTGCTCGGAACCAATGGAAATAGAAACCGTCCCGGGATCCCCCCCCCCCCCCCCCCCCCCCGGAGGTGGAGATGACTGACGCTCAGGAACAGGGGGCAGGCCAATCAACTACCACAGAAAAAGCAGACACGACGACTACTGAAGGAGACAACTCAACATACGGTGAGGAAGGGAAAGGAACACAAAGAGTTGGTTTGCAGGAAGTGGCAGACTGGTTGATGGAAAACCTGCACCTGAAATATGGGAAAGGGAGTGATCAGTTCTGGGACAACACATACAGGGAACTCATCCATCTCCTGGAATGCAGCGCCAGCCTCCATAAGGCCCTCTCCCAGGGGCTGCCAGGGGGGGCGAATTGGTCAGACATTTGACACAGACTCCTGGGCATAGTAGCTGCCCGCTTCAAAGGAGATACAAGGGGCGCTTC